GGTGCTCTCCTCCCGCTGCCCCGGTGCAATGCCCGCAGCATTTGCTCTGTGTGTCCCTTGTTTCAGCTGCCCCGGTGCAATGCCCGCGGCATTTGCAGTGTGTGTCCTTTGTTTCCCCTCCCAGCGGGTGTGAGAGCGCACGGAGCGCACAGGGAGCTTCCCTCGGCTCTGTCACGGCTGGGAGCTGGGGATGCTCCAGCAGCGTTAATGGGAATACCCATCGCACCCTTGGCATCCCTGTGCCGGCTCTCCCCGGCGCTCGGAGCGCTGCCCGTGCGGGGCTCGCACGCACACACGTGCGGGGTGAGCGGTCCGAGAGGCCATAAAGGTCAAATTCTCCTCTCGCTTTCACCTGAGCAGAAAAGCGAGACAGTGAAAGCCTTATCTCATGAGCGGCACAGTCATGCCCATGTGACCGGGTGAAGAAAGGACTCAGCAGATAACTATACCCGTCCCCGCACGGCTCACCCAGCGCCGTGTATACAGCCCGATGTTTACCTAGCAACCGAGACGTGTCAGACATTGTGCGGCCAAAATAGCCCCGGCCTCTGCTCCCGAAAGATTACAGCAGAGCGGGAAAATCCCGGTGCCTGCGGACAGCCGCGGCTGCCATCGAACCCGTGTCAGCTTCAGGGCTCCGAATCAGCTGCAGAAACAAGGTTAAAGAAGGCAAGAGGCAGGGAGGTGGTGGAAACCAAGTCAGAGATGTAGGGAATAAAGTAAGGGAAAGAAAACTCTGTAGGTTTGTGCTGAGTGGGTGAATATCCCATTATTTTCAGGAGCCGATTATAATTCTCCAGTCCACACTTTTGGGGTGGTTTTGGCCGCTTCACGCTGATAAACTGCAGTCGGGAGTGTTAATGTGGTAGTTAAAGATCATCAAGGGCTTGCAGCAAGTTGTCCCAGCCTGTCTCACAAAACAGCAACCAAAATAGCCTTGTCAGCTCAAACAGAGTTTGGTGGCAAAACGTGCGTGCCTCAGCTGACTGAGCTGAGTTAGAAACCCCTGGCTGGCATTTGGAACCATATGGTAAATAAATTATGGGTAGCACTGGAACTACACTGTGGATACTTCAGTTGGATAAACTGGAATCTGCCAAGCCACCTTGATCATTAATCAGACAATTAATTATGTAAATACACTTCTAGATACGGCTGGTCTTCAGATGGCTTCCTTAAAATTTGGGGGTTTTCTGTCTAACATTATCGCCTGAAACTATTCTCAGGGACTTTTCATGTCTTTTGCACCAGACTTTGTTGGATACCTTTGCTGTGTGTCAGCACTTTAGAAGCTGACATATGAGGTGGGGGTGTTTTTAATTATTTTCTGCGTGAAAAAGGAGAAATCTGAGAAGCAACAGAACTAAAGAGACAGTGCCACTTCTGTGCCACACAGAGCACTATTGGCCTGGAAACACACTAAAAAATGGGTATTTCATTGGCACAACTCAAAGAAGCTGCCTTTTGCTTTACAGGCTGAAAAGGTAATCTCCTGTAATCCTGTAAAAGTAATCAAGCTTTCTGCTGATGAGAATTATGAGTATTTTGATGATGTAAATGTGAGATAGACCATTTGCAGGAAAACTACCAGGAAAGGCATATGCCAAAGTGATGAATAAAAACCTTGAGAGAACTGTGTTTCAGCAGGAAAAGGGACTGGAAATAAAATTACACCCAGTAGAAATCCTACAGAAAATTCACCAGCTGGGCCTCCTCCTCTGGTTTTTGTAGGTCCAGCTATTCTGTGAAGCTGGAAGGAATTACCTGATAATTCAGGTTAATCACTTGAGAAACAGAACTCTCTTCACTTAGCATGAATAGAAGAAGATCTCTTCACTTAGCATGTAGTTCTGTTTGCTGACAATTATTGCTGTATTTTTCCTATCTTCTGGTAATTATTATAATTATTGTATTTTCATGTACACTTTACTATGGCACCCACTGATTTCAGTGGGGTGCATATGAGCCCACAGGCTTCAAATGGTGATTTTCCACCTTCTTTGAAGGACTTTAGGATCCTCTCCTTCTCACCTGCCCTCCATGTCCACTTCTGCCTGACCATGATTCTAACAGATACATGAACAGGAATTTATTTCTATTTAAAAGAGATTTTCATGCCTGGCTTTTCCTACCCTTATTTTCTATTGTTCTAGCTTCTAATTTTCTCTAAAAAAGGGATGCCTTTTTTTTCAGTTTCATTTCATCTTTGCATGATTTTAATTTTCCTCATTTCATAGACTTTCCACTTAAGGTGCCTTTTTTACATTTCACTGTTGTAGTATATCCAGTTTCTTTTTTCTGTTATCTCTTTCCTGTTATATTATTTCTCTGTTTCTTTTCCCCCTCACTTTTCCTCAAGCTTTTGAGAAGTACCAGTGTTCATTTCTAGTGCAAAAGTACATTTCATCATCTGGAAAATGTAAAACATGCAGTTTGATCCTGTTTTTCCAGGTATGTCTTCCTGGGGTAACAAAGCTAAAGTTCCTTTATTTTGTATTAGGTGCAGGGGGAATTTCATGGTCTAAATGACAAGCACAGACTTTGCAGGGGGTGCAGTGATAAACTAAGTTAAACTAAATTACACTTAACTAAACCAAGCATGTAAAACTTAACACATAACCCTGTCCCCTTTGAATTTTCAGGTTAAAAAGAAAAATTTGGGGGTTGCATGAACTTTATGTGATTCTTCCTCATCAGTGTTTGTTCAAGGTCAAATACCATATTATAAACAGCATTTATATTTTTACATTAAATGAATATTATTACTTTTGGAGTTGCTGCTGCCTTACATCAGAACTCTTTCACAACTGATTGGGAGTAACAGGAATATTTTGAACAGTCCAAAGGCTGGATCAGCAACAGTGAGGTTTGGGGCTCAGCATTGCTCTCAGTGTGGCTCTACACTGAAATTGGGGGTTTCTCTCCTCCTTTCCTTCCAACTCATCAAGTCTAATTAATCAGTCATTGTGTGGGTGAAGTTATTTCTACACAAATGGCAGAGATACCCACAAGGGTCTGTTCTTGCCAAGTTACATGAAGCATTACTCCTGCAGAAGTGTGAGCCTGGCTGCCTCCCAAATACCTGGACTGAGAAAGAAATAGCACATTTATTATTATTTTTATCACAGAACTGGCACACTCAGGCCACTGGGAGGACAGACAGAGGCAGCAGCATGAAATATATTGGGGTTTTAACCTAAGCAAGAGAGATAGAGATAGAGGAAAATGAAAACCAGCATTTTTTCTTTATCCTACAAAAAGTAGGATATAGTGCAAACAGGGTATCAAGTTTTCCTCACCACCACCCTTAAAATCAGAGATTAGTGTGAGCTGAACAGCCCTGGGCTAACTGGTTCAGTTTGTATCAGCCCTTTTCACATGAGGCCTATTTATATTCCATCCACTGTCTGGCAGTGAATGTATGGGGTAAAAGCAGGGGCTCTGAGCTGTCCAATCACCAGCAGAGGTGGAGCTCTCAGCCCTGCACAAGCTGCTCCGTGGGGAGGTGACAAATGTCCCATCCACGCTGCCCCTGCCTTGGGATGTGCTGAGGGAAGGCAGCACAGCCCTTCAGCCAGGCCAAGCTTTCCCTCAGAATTACCCTTGGATTTAATGGCAGGTAATATTTTGGATTGAGTAGTGGTAGCCATGAATTGGGGCTGAAACAATAACGTGAGAAATATGAGCTTTGGAGTCAATAGAAATCAATACAGCTTAGAAAGCTCACACAGAGTGCCAAGGGGGAAATGCAAGCAGAAACCCAACTAAATCCATTGTTATAGCTACACAAATAATAAGCCTTTCATGGCTGCTGTGTTTCCTCTCAGCTCCAGACCAGAAATTCTAAAGATCACTGCAAAAGAATGGAGAAGTTTCTGCATTTTCAGGTAGAGAATGATAAAATAGGCAC